TTGCTGCCAAAAATCTTGAGAACACTTCAGTGATTATTTCAAAAAGGCACACAGTAAACATAATGTTGGTGTTGAGCAGGTAGTGTACAGTGGATTTTTAAAACTTTAGCGTTAAAAACAGCTGTCTGCTGCAGCTTAAAACCACTTGCTTAAAGAGATCATATAATGCTCATTTTCATAATTTTATTTAGTGGTTGTACCAGAAAAAGGTTTACATGGCTTCATTTTCAAAAAACACCATCTTTTTGTCAAACTGCACATTGCTGCAGCTCCTCTTATCACTCTGTGTGCTAAAGGCTCCATATTAGCTACCCAGTGAGGCATTTCACTTCTATTAGATCTTTGTTGAGAGTTGCAGATGTGCAGCACCTAGGTAAGGACTACTAGCCAATCAGAAGCAGAGGGTAGGTCCTGACAAGCAAGGTAGTGTGATCCAAAACAAATCTGCTGCAGACGGCAACCATGACTTCGGTTCAGCCATTCATGATCCCGAAACACAGGCAGAACAACCTAAAACAGCTTGGCAAGCTAGACTGGAGCAAGACGTTTACTTTATGTCCACTGACTCTGGCTCTGGAACAGCCTGCCTGAGTCAGTGAACTCTTTTAAGTCCCTTCTTAAAACATACTTTTATAGGAGAGCCTTTCCCGATCTTATTTGACTTTATTTTATCCCTTTTATTTTATTGTATTTTACTAATTTTGTATTAATTTTTCATGCTCTTATCTTGTTTTTTTTGTATTATTCTTTACACTTGTTAAAGCACTTTGTAACTTGTTTTTGAAAAGTGCTCTACAAATAAGGATTATTATTATATTATTACTGACTGCCTGAAGGGTTTCTAACGTTCTGTAGGGAGGGTGGGGTTGAGGGGAGGCAGCGGGTAGACATCTTTTCACTGCATGCTGCAGCTCAGTGTGTTTCTCCACCAGTTTTTTTGGAGGCTTGCTACACTAGCAGCTATGCGAGTATTGTGACATTTGTTAAATACACAGATAGGCACAGATAGGTTAAGGAAGTAAAGGCTGGACTACAATGGAGCTGTTTTCAGGCAGTTCAGGAGCAGTGTTTTCTGTGGGAGATGGGGACTCCCTTTGGGGTGGAATTTGGGCTTTCTCAATTTGCAAATCTATTACATGCCCAGAAAAGACACATAACACAATAAAGGAAAGGGAAAAAGTCAAAAAACATAATAGAAATAATTCTTAGCAACAGTTCCTTTGTAACCTTCAGCTGATCAACAGTCAATAAACAACATAGATGTAATCTCAGTATGAGATCCACTGCTATGTGAACAGAGCCCCCCAAAATAAGCTGCTTTTCCATTATAAAGTAAAGGCAACATGGGCTAAAATTACCAACAGCTTTGGGCTTCGTCTTTGCACCTGCTGATCCACTTGTATTTCTGCCACACAAAATGTGGCCCTAAAATAAGGCAACATGTGGCACAGATGTTGTAATCTTAATCCTGTTGCAATGATTGTAAAAGTGATGTTTTACAAAGTCCACTTTATATGTTACTTTACTGGTTACTTGCTTACAAAACATTCCAGATAATGTTTTCTAATGATAAAATGTATTTTGTGTACCGTACAGTATATGGCCATAATAACTCTGCATCAGTCCACATACTCCCTGTGGAATCTAGAGATAGGTTCTCTGATAGGATATAATACCATGTGATACAGTAAATTGATTTGCATACGAGGTGTTATGGTGTGAATATAAAGGTTGATTTGTCACATTTGTACTGAAATACAACTGCTGCTTTACTGAACGCTCAGTAAAGAAAAACATTATTTAGCAAATGGTTTTCTCAGGCACTTCAAATTCAGCTGGAGTCACACAGGTAGCTACAGTGGACTGTGGTGCCTCACCCCTGTATGATGAAAGCATGCATCACACAGTCAACTTCCCCTCCTTGGCAGCTAGAGGACAATCTTTCCCACACCCCCAAAAAAGACATGAGAAAAACGTTACATAACAGTGAAGCTAACAGGGGAGGAGGGGGAATCCTCAATATTTAACACCTCTCATTCCACATTCACTTTGACTCAGACCGAGGACTAACCTTCTGATCTCCCCCATCAAAGCTCACTCACAGTCACCTCACATCTCCCTCTATCCAAGTCTAATCGGCCCTGATTGGCTTATGAAAACCCTAATCATTGAAAATTACTTATTATGTGATGCCGGTATGTGTGGGTTCTGAATAACTTTGAAATGGTGATCAACTGAAGGAGGGTTTTTCTGTGTGCCTACTTGATTTGAAGTAGCTGTGTGCAGTCACTCTATATAGATGTGGTTTTGAAAGCTAATGAGACAGAGAAGACTCGTCTCCTCAACGGGGAAGGGGGCAGCCAAATCTCTGACAGAAAAACGCTACAATTTTCCTATTCTAACCTACAGGGACATAGCAAGCTTATGGACTGTATGGTACTTCATCCGTGACTTTACAGAGAGCTTGAATGTTGAATGATTTTCAGTGGTATCTAATATGTTACATTGACTTATACTATGTCTGTGTTGACAGTGAGTTAGTGACCTTATCACCTTTTAGTTTCATCGTCTATTCCTATAATTTGCTAAAGGCAGCCACTTAGAATGTGTCCATGCACTCAACTGTCAACTTGTGACTTTATCTTACGTGATTCCATTTTACTGTCTTATGGTAGCATGTACTATAGATAATTTTTTACCTTTCTTGTGTTTTGTTTCTGCTATTTAATAGTGGGATTACATTATTCATTATGCTTAATATTTTCGGCCACCCTAGCGGCGTGACTCCATGGATGGCAAAGTCAGTCGGACCCTCTGCATTGCTCCAGCCCCAAATCCCAAGCCCTGCCATCCTCAAGCTGTCCCCCAGATGCCATTGGACTTTTTTCCACATCACTTGACCTTTCACACCTAACTACACACCTGTTCTCGTCTCCCTCATCTGCTCTGCAGTTACCTGGCCTACTCCACCCACTCTCTCACTTGTTTCCACATTCCCTCAGCAGCCCTGCAGATACTTAACTGGACCTTTCCTACTCATTCCTTGCCAGATTGTCAAAGTTGCCACTGAGTATCTGATCTGTTCTGTTTTTTTTTGTTGTTGTTGTTTTTTTTTTACCTGTGCTGGATCTACATGGACTTTGACCTGCTGCAAAGTCCTGCCTGCCCCTCTAAATTTGTTTGCCTGTTTGGACTGTTTTGCTGGTGTTGACCCTTGTCTGCCTCATGATTTTGTAAGCCTATTTATTGTCTCTGCCTCAGTAATTGCTTGTACTCTACCAGTCAGCCTGCACTGTCTGCATTTGGGTCCTATGTCTATTACCCCCATGAAATCCTTAACTTCTTGATGGATTGCCATGAAATTTGGTATCGATATCCATGGTTCCCAAAGGAAGGATCTTAATGACTTTGATGATACTTCGGACTTTTCATTTAGCGCCACTAGAAGGTCAAAGTTTTCACTTATCCAGTGAAATACCTCAACAACTATTGGATGGATTGGTACATTTTATATACAGAAATCAATGGTCCCCTGAAGATGAATGCTAATGACTTTGGTTATCCTCTGACTTTACATTTAGCGCCATCATCTGGGCAGAATTTAAATCTGTGCAATTCTTTGGGTTTTATTTTGCATGTACTGCTCACTAATGGTAACAGTTTACTTTAGTTCCCCCTATTTTGCATTTCCCAGCAATATACTAACATGTAATAAATAGTTTATACACAAACTACCATGTAGTTGTAAATATGGGCATTTTAAGTGTTATATAAAGTAAAAACAGTATTGTCAACTATTGAGTTCTCCTGTGAAGACACAATTTGCATTCTTTCAACTGTATTGTCCTATATTGCCATTCATTATCTTATTATACACTTATGGATGTCTGTAGCCCTTATTAGCTAATGTTAACATGCTAATGTGAACGTGTAAACTAAGATGGTGAACATTACACCTCCTAGACATCAGCCTACTTGTCATTTTTGTCATCAGCATCGTTAGCATGCTGATGTTAGCTCAAACACAGCCGTGCCGAAATACAACCTCACAGTGGCTGTAGATACTTTGTCTTGTTTACAGTTTCATCTTCTCTGTCTGTAATATTGCTCTAGGACAGCAGCTGTTTGATCTACTGGCCTTGTCTTGCATGGTGGCATTTCAACATCTTATGGTGTCACATAATATACTCTTCATGTCTTAAGTAAATAGTAAGCATAGGCCTAATTATATTTTTATTTTTATTTTATCTCCTACAGAGCCACCTTAGTGTTGCTGGTTCCAATACTGGCCGAGTTTACAATGACCTGACCCTTCATTATGGTATTTTGATCTTCTATGACATTCTTATAATACTGCAGTCTGAGTACTGCTGGGATACTTACAAATGGCACCCTTCCCAAATTAATTATCACATTAGCTGTTTTCTGTCACGAATAATACTTCCACCAGTGCTGTTGCCTGTCATTTACCACAGAATATTCTGTGGAAAACTGTTGCTCAGTTAAAAACAAAAGACAAACACACACAAAACAACAGGGGCAAGAGGTGCCCGAAACAGATGGCTGTTTTCTCTACATAAGTAAATTGACTATAAATTAAATTCAGTTCCCCAGTGTGTGTGTGAGTGTATGTGAGAGAGACAGAAAAAGGGAGAAAATGTACATCTGTGTTCATCTTATATATTATATGGAGCTGGGAGTCACACTGAATTAAGTTAAATTGAATGTTTCTGTATCACATCACTGCCAATAAAGCTAATGCTAAATGATTTCTCTTTAACTATTGGCAGCAATTTGCTCATGTGTATTAGCTTGTAGGATACTAGAGGCTATTGGTTTCCCTCTTGTCACTCCAACGTATTTGAATTGAATAGTGATTGACAGAGCGAGGAGACTAGGAAACGGGAGAGAGAGAGAGAGAGAGAGAGAGAGAGAGAGAGGGGGTGGGTGGGGGTGGGGGGTGAGCCTATCCGGAGGAAGAAGCAACTAGGGAAGAAGCCTCAGCAGTTGCATTTGCCAAAGCGGCTCCACATAGCCAGCAGCCTGCACTCCTAAGATTCACCTTTTAAATTTGACATGACAATTTTTGAAACCATTTTGAGCCACATTCGTTCTGTCTCTCGCGCTGTCTTTGTTGTGATGGACACGCGGCTGGAAATAGGATTTCGTTCAACGTAACTTGAAGGCAGCAGCAGTTGTTGGACCGGCGTTTTTAGTGCCTCCTCGCAGCGGATTTACAAAGCCTCTCCGGAGCCTGCGATGATATTCAGCACCCTGGACAGAGACTAGAAGCATTTCAGCACGCTGGACAGTCATTAAGCGTTTCATCAACCCGGACAGAGACTAAAAGGTGCGCTGAAGGTAAGCCGGCAGAGTTGAACTGCAGCTTTTCGCCTGTATCTTCTTGTTAGTCGGGAAGAAAAAAAATCACTCAATACCACCACAATATGTTGAACGTGCTACGACTTATCGCAAGACTGCTTTCGGAGAGAGACAGGGTAGATACATGAGCAGCTACAAATGGGAATAGCCTAGGCTGGGTTAATTTATTTCAGTGTTTTAAGCAGTTCAGCCGAGTTTGTTAGCCTATGAGTTTAAAGGGAAAATGTCATCAGTGCTGCCACTTTCTACCGGGCTAGTTTGTGATTCATGAGGTGTGCTGTGGCAAAGGAGGCTGCAGTAATCTCTAAACATTATTATTATTATTATTATTATTATTATTATTAGCCCTGTGTTTCTGTATAAGGCGAGCTTTCGTTCGCTCTCCGTCAGTTTTATTTAAGGCAGCTCTTTATTTTGAAGAGTCAGCGCGTGCCCAGGCAGAAGTGGCTCGTGCCTCCAGTCTGCGCGGAAAATCAGCCCATCCATGTTTTGAGGCCCCCACGACCACCACCCGACACACACACATATGCTCACACCACCCCCAGGGCACGCGGCCAGCAGCCACTAAGAAAATATATAACCCCCGCGAAGCCCAGTGCTTTCTCACCACACCGATATTTCAGAATGACTATCGGATAATGATCACGAGAGAGGTGCTGCTGCCTTTTAACCTATGCATTGACATTGTATAACGTTTTTTTTTGCGATTAATTGCGTGATTTAATATGTGTGGGCAGCCTGTGGGTTTAGCTTTATTGGCACTTCATCAGGAAACATGGTTGCTGCATGGACCTTTGAGGGGCCTGTTTAACCAAGTGAGTCCAAAAGTTGATCTTACAGGTCTGTCCATTATAATGCTTAAAATGTTTGACAAATATAGGTATGTGTCAAGATGTTTTGCTCAAATGATTAGGGAATCTAAGTTTATGAACATTTTCTGCTTTTCTTCGTTGGACATTAAATAGTTGGAACTTTAGTAGACATTTTTCACTTTCACTTATTTCTAGAGGTTTGTTTTTTTTTTCATTTCAAAATGTGAAAAAAAATGTTAACCCCTTCTGGGTGGTGCCCTATGTGGCCATCGATGTTGTTTATTGGAAGTGCCGCCATCTGACCAAATGCTTAATCGACTGATCAAAAAAATTATAAACATAATAATCGATAATGAAAATACTCATTGGTTGGATCCATAGTTATAACCCTAATGCCTCATGTGTTGGTCACACTGTCACACTGAAGGACTTACATCCTTGTAATCCAAGCTGCACATTAACTGGTGCTGGGATTAGACATTATTTTGACCTTTTGGTTACCACACCGATGCTTGAAATTGATGTGGCCACACAGCTTCCGTTTTCTCGCTTGCTCCATGCAGCACTCGAACTGTATGCTGCTTTTGCACAAAGAAATTAATTCTGAAAATGTAAAGGGAGAAAAATGCCCATGTCAGGCCTGTTTGAATAAGAGGTGACCCCCATGCATTTTGCCCGCGGCATTCTAACAGGCTCTGATAGCCACACACACATACACACACACACACACACACACACACACACACGCACGCACACACAGACTGTAAGCATACACACACCCTGACTGTGTAAACCCAGTGATGTTAAGTCTTGGTTTTGAAAGCCTTGATTTTAATGATGTTCATTAGGATTTTGATTACACTGAATGTGTGATAACTCTCGGCTCGGCGTTAAGTGTGTGTGATATGTTGACTGAGACTGTGAGTGACAAGAATTTGGTGGGAGGAAGCAAGGCGTGTGAATCATAGCAGGGATGTTGCCACAGGGTTCCACTCCAGTGTCCTTGTAAGAAAGAAAGCACATTTTGATATGCCAGTTTTGTCTCTGGGTTATTAAGCTCTGGGCACTAGTGTATAGAAACTGCTGCTCTATATCATGGAGATGATGAACTAAATGCAAATTAATCTTTCATGCTCAATTTATTATCCAATAAACAGACTATGAATTTGAATTAGAATAGTGGCCCTACAGAGGGCAGGCCACACAATTGCCCGTTACCTCTCTCTAAACTGCCTTTGCCTAGTCAGAACTCCAAGGGTTGGATAGCAAGTCAGACACTGAATTCAGGGCATTTATGTGGAGGTGTATCTCGTACCATAAAAGCAAGGCCACTTTAACAGTCATTTGCCACCCAGAGGGTTACCTCTTCACTTGTGCACTGTCTCAAATTGTGACTCACTGAAAAACATGACACAACACACAACCTTGGCGTCATCAGTTACGAGCCCCCATTGCCATCCAGGAGAAAGCAGGATGATGGGCTCTGCTTTAGATTTTCACATTACATAGATTGAGTTGCTTTTCATGAGTGTGCACTTTACATGTTCACTGCACAGTGGATCATGTTACTGCATGCCTGGAATTCCATTTATGGGCCTCTTAAAATCCAGGCCCCTGCTAGTAACGCAATTAAATTCAACACTGCTACAACTACATGGTGGGCCAGTGTGAAAGCCAGAGAGCAGGCCGAGGCAGTGAATGCCCACTCACCCTCCTCACTCCACAACCCCTCCCCCTCATCCCGTCGCATAGTGAATTGTGGTCAATTTGAATGATCAACCGAAGACAATCTGGGAGGCAATGTCTGTCGCAGAGAATATTAGGCTGCAATGAGCCGCACCAATAAAAAGTCTGTGTGTCCGGAATAGTCAATGTGATTTTTCACTCCCCTGTGTGTTGTAGCTCCCTTTAGCACACATAGAAAGTAGAAAAATTAAAGTGCTCTGTCCGTGCTGTGCTAGACTCTACTCTGGGCTACGCTAAGCTGTATGGTGCTGTGCTGTGCTGCGCTGTGCTGTGCTGTGCTGTGCTGTGCTGTGCTGTGCTGTGCTGCGTTGTGCTGTGCTGTGCTGTGCTACGCTCTATGTCATTAGCTGAAACACAGCTGCTGTTCCATCTGATGCAGTAAGCACTCAGCTCATCTCATCGGTTCTCAGCCACTGGTTTTCCACTTCAGAATCACTGTGCTTCGGAGAGCTATAATCTTACTGACATAATGGCGTCCACTCCAATCAATAGCCAAATGGCAGGGTGAATCAATAGCTACCATACTCTACAATAACGTGGCCTGGGAGTGGCATAGGGGAAAGCAGCCTGCAACCATCACATGTTTAACTCTGGAAACTCTTTGAAAATATACTCCTTAATTATGGATCAAAAATACCAACCTTGTTAACGAGCCATGTATTATGAATTGCTGCATGATCTATGCTAATGTAAGCACAGTTGAAAAAAAAACTGGCACCTCTTTGCTTGCTTGCTTGCCTCTCTCTCTAATCACTACACATGCAAATGCACACACACACACACACACACACACACACACACAGTATATGCAACCAGAAGCACAAAAGTAAAACCAAAACTGAGATATAAAACTTTACGTACTTACAACAATAAGTATCTATGATTGGTCAAATAAAATATTCACTCTTTTTTAACATTTTGGATCCTTCTCATTGGCACACTTCTGCACAAACCAGGGAATTTCAACATTAGGCAAGAAGGCAGTGTTCACACATCCAACTTATTCAGTTAACGGGTTGTTGGTGTTCCCTGAGGAGCCAGAAAATTCACTGGCTTTTTAAGTGTTAATCAAGTGTTTATCCAAGCCTAACTTAAAAGAACTCTAAGATAAAACATTTTATATGTAACAAGGCAGCAGTGAAAACATTTCTGCAGTTTTATCTAAGAGAAAACAGCTAGTGTTTTACATCCTAGAATAAAGGTCCCTTAAACTATCCTGCTGTTTGAATTTTTTTGTCTGCAGCATCCTCAGAGATAATATTATGCACAGCAAAAACAGGCATAATGGTTTTGGCAACAAATGGAAAAGGTAACCAGGTAAAGAGCTCAGTTACTGCTGTTATTCCAACAGAGATGCAAATTGCCTTGAATGGAAGATAAGAAGTTTATCTTTCTGTCGGTACCGCACTTTAACACGGCAAGAACCAATGTGTGATTAGATCCAGCTTTTTTTTTTTTAAATCAATCCAACCCCAAATGGCAGTTTCTCTGGTGGAGGGCAATTTGGCAATCTACTCAGCATCTCATCAAGCAGAGTTTCAATAGCCACACTGGACGCTTATGAATCAAAGACTTTAAATCTTTAAAGAGTGTGAAGCTGGAGGAGAAAACAAATATGCCAATGTGGATTTTGACTTGTCACTGCCAGTGTTGAGTAAGACAGGTAGGTGTTGGTGGTATCATGAAATTCTGCACCATCTGTGTGGTGGTTGGATGACATTCCCACAAATGTCGCCATATAGGTAGCTGCTTGTGCTGTTCCACACACACAAGCACAGACTCACTGCCCACATACACCTACTTAGTTACAGCCTGCTATATACCCACCCATACCTCTTACAAGCACACACACACACACACACACACTTGCTTCCACACATTAAAAACCATGCTTTAAACAGAGTGTGGCTGTACAGGTATATAGCGGTGAAATATTGGAGCCACTGCAGCCCTCAAGGCAGGCAGTTATCAGGGATACAGAACTGATGGGAAATCAATCAGCTCAAGTGGAGTGGCCGGGCCCGTGGTGAAGAGAGGAGTCTTGTCTTTTCCAGATGCATGCCTGATGTCTGCAGCTCACTGTTCTAATCACTGAAGCAAAACAGCATGCATTTATATAGTAAATGCATGCACGTTTCCACCGTATGTATATATGCATGTGCTCTATCTATCTATCTATCTATCTATCTATCTATCTATCTATCTATCTATCTATCTATCTATCTATCTATCTGTCTATCTATCTATCTATCTATCTATCTATCTATCTATTCCCAATTTCTACAATATATGTACATGGTAACTATGACGGTGGAACATAAAGGTGGACATTAATTGAAGGTCACATGTCTATACACTTGCTTTCCCCTATGCACACTACTTCCTGCATTAGCTCTGAACTTTGGCGCTGATGGTACTAAG